CTCTGTAGGAAATAATTTTGCAGTGATGTCAGGTGTAGAAAATAAGAGTAAAATAGAGTGCCTGATGCCAATGAACTAATGGAATGGTTATTGGTTTTGAGTTGTTTTTTGTTTATGTCTGCTTTTGCTATGTTTTCCTTGCAAAAATTTTAGAGGAAATTTTTGTTTTGCTTGCCTTCCCCCCCCCCCCCCTTTTTTTTTTCCATAAGTGATGGCTAAGTCAGTACTCACACGTTAGACTTCCAAAACTTGTATGAGAAACAAAAATCTTTTAGCTTTATATGATACAGAAATGGAGTTCTTGCTTTAAACTTAGCTTTTTCATTTTAAGAGATGAAGATGTTCTGTGGTATGCTTATTGTGGAGAAATTCATAGAGAGTGGTAGTTTCAGTATCTTTATCCAATTCCAGGATGTTTCTTACCTGATTTCCAGGCCTGATTAATACTGTATTACTACAGCTTGCTTCTGTCCTTTTGCAGAAGTAAAGCTACAACAGTTAGTGATATGAATGGATTGAAGTCTCTTTCTGGCAACAAGGTATTTGTATGTTAAAATTCATTTTCTTCCTATTAACTTGTACGCTGTTGTGTTTTTCAGTGTTTAATGTTCATGACAGAATCTGGAGTTTCTAGTTTTCCTAACATGTAATATCTTAAATTAAAACTACTTATTTCTTTGAAAAGTAATGTTTGCTTTTGATGTGCCAAAAGGTGGATAGTGTCATTTTTAATACTGCTTGGTTCTTAATTTTGCTCTGGCATGGTTAAAAGAACACCACTGAATGATATTTTTTTTTTTTTTCCAAATCTCTTTATGCTTTATGTATTTTCAGCTTCTTTATATTTCAGTTTAAAACTTGAGCACTGTGATTGCAAAATGGAAAACTGTACATCTTTATGTAGTTGACCATTTAGCACTTTGTTTTGTTTCATACAGCATGTCAAGAGCAATGGGAATCCTACCTTATTGGTCTTACCTAGAAAAGTTCTTAAATCACTCAATCCATCAGTTTACAGGAATGTTGAATATGATGTTTGGCTCCAATCCAAATGGGGTAAGTAACCAAATACTTAGAAGTTCCGCCTTTTGCAAGCTGATGTATAAAGTGAAGCCCTCTTGAAGTACAGTGGTGCAAACGGCAGTTTGGGTTTAGGCAGTGGTCTTCCTCCATGGGTCAGTGTGCAGATTTAGGGCCTGAACTTCTGGTTTGCCTTTTACTGTATCAAGAAAGTAACTTTTGATATATTTAAGCTAATGGTATATTACCGCTAATGTATTTACAGATCAGCAAAAACAAGATTTTTCTATTGCTGCTGGCATGCAATACTCAGTTGGAGATAAATGTAAAGTAAGTAGTATTGAATTCTAGTTTTTAGACATATTAAGATTTTGCTCAAGATGCCAATTTTTCCTCTTTGTTAACTATTTTGATATATATAATTGCTACTTTATAAATATTCTTTGCTTGTGTCTTCCAACTGTGCATATGCTCACTTAATTTGTTGGTGGTGTTCAGGACTTACAGCACACATGTAGAAAAGGCTTGTAATAGAACATCTGATCAGTGCAACTTCACTGCATTAAAAAGTCACAAGGTTAGCTTCAAGAATATATTAAATAAGATGACTGTGGAACTTAACATTAAGTATGCAAGTAAGTTAGTGCATACTTGCCTCCATGGTGAGTCCTTGCTCAGTGTTGTAGAGTGCTTGCCCCTGTGTGAGAAGTAGGTGCATTGAGGGCAGTTTACTTGGTTCAGGCTAAGCTCTGTTCTTCTCTTGGTGGCCTCTGTAAGCTCGCTATTTATTCCCATGATGTGCAAAAGTTGGGGGGGTAGGTCTGTTTTATAAAACTAATTGTTCTCTTCACTGCATCTTTTGCTGGTGGCTGCACTTGCTTTATCGTACTGCTGCATGATAAAGTGTTTGCGTGCACACAGTTGCATGATGAACAATGGATTTGTAGTGTTCTCTGCCATACGGGCTTTTCTTTGGAGAGACCAAAACCAACTTCGTAGTTCCATGTATTTGTGTTCAACTCTGGAGATAATGATTACTGTTTGTAAATCGGCATTGTTCTAAACACATTACTTTCAAGTAATGCAGTAGAGTTCGCTTTAGTTACTGCTGATCCTGAAGATCCTGAAGTTTTGGGTGATTCTTCCTCTTGAAGTATTCAAAGTGTGTTACGCAACTGCTCTTCAAATTCTATTAAAATTTGTAGTATGTGTGTCTGCTTAAGAAGAAATAAGATTTGCCATCAAATTTTATAGTACTGGGTTTTTAGATTATTCTCCTTAGGTGTGTTAACTAAACTGGTGATACTTTGCTAAATATGTTTGTTTCTAGGACATTTGACCATCTATTAAAATTGCTAACGTGAAAATATTCAGTTAGGTTTATCATGCAACACGGAGGCTCTTCCAGTTTGTATTTTTTTTATTTGTGTGATGGAGTTAAGCATAGTGAATAAATTGCAGGAAAAACACATCTCTAAACTTTACAAAAACCCCAAACAAACAAAAAAAAAAAACCCAAACAAAACCACAAATCCCCCAAACCCACACAAAACAAACAAGAAAACCTCAAGGGGAGTTGATTATTTATTGCTTAATAGTACAGGCTTAAACTTTGTGTTTAAGACTGACCCTAAGGCTGTCTTGTAGTATTTACTAAAGGGTACAGATATTATTAGTAGAAAAAACTCTTGTAATTAACATACTCTCTCTGTCAAATTTTATATGTACCTGGCAAGACAGTAAATATATGGGATAAAAACATGGGAAGGGAAGATGAAGTAAATGGTGAAAAGTGGAGTTGACCAAATTAATACAACTGGAAAGCCGAATGGTATAGCAGAACATTATGAAATTTATTTTATATTTGACAGAAGAATTTTAAGAACAGTCAGATAAGTAACACTATGATCATGTCTGAACAACTTTTTTTTTTGTTATTTAAGAAAATCCCAACTTTGTGAAGAATAACTCCAGAAATAATTGGTGTTCATTATGTTCTTAAACTAAATTTCACTGAAGTTAGTAATGAATTTTTCTTTTCTTTACATGGATTTTAACAAGGAAAAGCTTTATTATTATAAAAAGTTTTATTCTAAGAAAAAGTGTTTTCAGTAAAGCTGAAGAGCCTTGATACACTGGTTACTTTCTCACGTAGTTTTGGAAGCCATGTTTCATTAAGTAGTGTTACCTGGCAAGCCTTCTGGTTTTCTTTTTTAATAGTATTTTTATTTCTTTTTGAAGGAGCAATATGGATTGAAGATTTGCTTTTGATACTTCTATTTTTAACATAGCTGGTATTTTAAAGGGTTAAGTCCTCTTGTTGTCTTTGAAGCTAGAGCACCTTTTTTTTTGTTCTTGTTCCTTATAGGTGCGCTTAGACCATAATGGGAAGTTTTATAATGCCCATATTCAAGAAGTTTGCTCAGAGAATGGGCCAGTTGTTGTATTTGTAGAAGAGCTTGGAGCAAAGTAAGTGCTTAATCTCTTTTGGAAGAGTGCCAAACTGAACCTTGCTAATGGCAGCATTACTTGAGTTCAGAGTTAATTTCAGCCCCTGAAGTGTATCTGCTTTTTTACTTGAAGCAGTACTACCACAAAACTGTTAAGAAAACAACATACTAAATAAAAAAAGGAAAAAGGGGTTCTGCATTGATTGTCACTTCGGACTTTTTTCTGTAGTGAGAAGTAGTCTGGATGTTACTTGCAGAGTAAAACAGTAACTACATTAATTATAGAAAATTTTTTTGCACAAGATTCAATCCTAAACTGATTGACACCATCCTAATTAAGTGTTGCTTGTTGTGCTTAATAATTAGATGCTAGATTTGTGACAAGCTTTTCATATTAAAAGGTCCATCAAAGCACCTACCTTTGCTTGTTGGTTCAGTAGCTCTGCCTGATTTCATTCAGAGAGTGCTGAGTTGCTGTTTAGATCAGCGTCATCCTTGCCCTACCTTGGAACAAACTAGGTGTTTAAAGTTGTTGGGGGTTGTGGGGTTTTTTTTTGTGCATGTTGTTGGTTGGCTGTTTTTGTTGTTTTTTTCTGGGGTGGTAGCAGTGGTGGTTTTGGTTGTTTGTGGGTGGGATGGTGTTTGTTTTATGGGGGCGGTTTGAGACATCTTCTTGAGCTCTGCTGTAAGTTCTCTTAATTCTTCTGGGGCAAAAAACCTCCCCACAGTTGAGTGTAGTTTGGGAGGAGGAAACACTTTCAGTCAAGGTAAATGAGGGAAGGAGAAAGATGCCCATTGATTTCATGTAATCTAAAAAAAAAATAAAAATGTGAGATCTGGGGATTGTCTCGCAGTTTGTTCCCTTTTTAAATTGAGATTTAACCTGATTTGATTGTCTTACTTTCAATTAATGTAAATAGTTACTTGGACATCCTACAGCATCCTCAATTTAAAAACACAGTAATTGTTCTGCACTATGAACCACCAATATCATGGTTTTTCAATCTTGATATCTATTGTAGCATTTGTGATAAGTTTATCTGAGTATATTGCTTTTTCTGATCATTCTCCTTTTCTGTCTGCCCTGAAGACATTACAATACTTGCTCCACAAATAGCTGATCATTCTTTACTGGATAAGTTCGCATCGACTTATCAGAGAGATTTCTATTAAAAAACAAAAAAAAAGAAAGGTTTGTTCTACAGATTGCTTGAGTGTAATCATAAAGAACAAAGGACTTTGAATGCAATGTACGCAATGTGATAAAGAAAGGAAGGATTTATCTGTCTTAGTAAACATGTGATATTAATTTATGCAAGGTCTTTAAGATACTTTTTGCTCCATAATTCCTTGTTTTTTAGGCATGCTGTCTCACTGAAGAGCCTTAAACCTCTTCCACAGGCCTCTCCTATGGAGGGCTGGAACACTGTGCCAGGGAAGAAGATAAAAAAGTTTTTCCCAACATGGGGGCAGAATGCTCAGCCTGGTAGGATTTTACCTCTCTTTCTGTGGCAGAATCTTTATTGTCAGATGTTTTGTCCCAAAGAGTTTAAAAAAATGATTAAAAAAACCCATCACATCTTTATCACAGATGCAGATTGCAGAGGGCCAAAGAATCAGAGCAAGTCAATAAAACCCCAGTCAGCACTACCTCCTCGACTTCAGCATACTGCGGGAACCAGGCAGCATCAGTTCTTATGTTCTGGACCCCAACCTCATCAGACCTCAACTGAGCAAAAAGCTCCAGGCAGGAATCCTTCTCAGACTGTAAGGTAAAACTCCAAATACTGTCTTCCTTATCTTGAACTCTAGCTGAGCTTGGAGCCCAGGTGCCTGCTTCAGCTGTTTCCAACATGCTCTGTTGAAATATGTTGCCATTGAATAAATGAGAAATGTTCCAAGTCCAATACACACAAGCACAGGAAAAAGAATTCTTTTATTTTTTTATTTGTAAAACTTTTTCAAAACTGCCATCATGAGCTCCCACTTTTTTCTTGCTTGGCAGCATCTCCCCTGGAAGCACTGTACACAAAACTGGGGTGGTTCTTGGAAAGTGGATGTTGGGTTTTTTCTGGTTAGGACTGAAGTAATGTCCTATGTAGCGCTTCTTGGGTGTGGCTAAGGTCTTCCCTCAGCTTCTACAGAACCTGTCGTAGAGGGCTGCTTCATGTTACGACTTGATCACTTGAAGGAGTATGAGAACAGCATTTTGCCTCCATTTGTTGGTAGTGATTTTTTTGATTCATTCTGCTGCTGCAGCAGAGTTTCTGTTTTCTTCATTGCCACTCTTCTGTTGTCTCTAAAAGACTGTTCTGTACTTGGCTGCAAACCCAAACTCTTTGTGGTCTTTTCTGTCACTCTTCTATATCGTAACTCCTTGTGGAAAAAATTGGGCTGGGTTGTCTTTGGAGTGTGCCACATGCAACATTTTAAGGGCATTTTTGTTCCATGCTTAACCTAAATACGTAAGTATTCTAAAACGTTTAGTTACATAATTCAGAAAGCTGAAACAGTGATGCTAATTTTGTGTAGTGATGCTTCAGACATTGAAAATTATAATGCATTTTCCCTTTTGTTGTCGTGTTTACAGAAGTCTTCTTCCCCAGCTTTCTCTTGCATGTTCCTAGATAGCAGATGGGGGGTGGTCAGTTTTCAGTTGGCACAGAAATGGATTAGATCACTTGATGTAGGCATTTGTTTTTTAACTATGATCTAATAACTACCATTTGTTATAAAGGCTTTCAAAATTGTATCAAACTGAATAAGTCATGGACAAAATCCATTCTTTTCTTAAATTTTATGCATATGGGTAACTTGCAGTGGGCAGAAGAGGATCTGGTACATGTGGAATCGCATAAGCAGCGCTATATAACTATCTTCTTTCTTCCTTCTAAACCTGGAGTTTGTATTGTGTTTGATACTGGTGAATTTATCTGTCAAAGTGATCCCGTTTTCATTTTTTCCCTTTAGAGAAAGAAAACCAGACCGGGAGAGAACCGAGGATCTGAACCATGGCAGCAGAGATTGTAACTACTTTGGCCTGTCGCCGGAAGAACGCAGGGAAAAACAGGCTATAGAAGAATCTCGTTCACTTTATGAGATCCAGCAGAGGGATGAACAAGCTTTTCCTGCTCTTTCCAACGTATGCTTTTTTTTCATTGTAATTAATAATGCATTTTTCATACTTGTCCATGAACTTCTAATTAGCAGTTGTTTTGCTGTCCTTGCATTACAATTCAAAAGTTAAGAATATTTTCTTCACACTCACTTTTTACATAGAAATATGTGAATCTACAACGCTTTATATATTCAAGATAAGATACATACGTAGTAGTTTCCCCTGGGAATAATTAGTGTCTACCACACACAGTTCTTTAGGCATGTAAATATGGTAGACATGTGAGCTTCTGAAGCTGTGGGCTTCTTTTTGTTTCTCCTGTCTTTGGAAGGCTTTGCACTCCCTTACAGTTACTCAGATGTTGTCTTTTTCTTGTATGGTGGGATCAAACTTCAAGGTGAGGACAGAAGTTGGTCTGAAGTACAGTTTAATTTAGCTGAGAAATAGCTCAGTAAAATGGCACTGAATTAGTATTGGAGTTGACTAGGTGATTGTTTCTGATTTGGTTCGCATAAAACCTGTTTTATTTATAAGTGGCTTTTCTTTTTAGCCTGAGAACTTACTGGTATGAGAACTTGCCTAGTCTCATGAGTAATGCACATTCTTTGTCAGACTTGCTCTTTCACTGTTGTGGAGCTAGGCTGGCCTCAGTGGATTTGTCTATGTCTGAGGGAAGAATGTAGCCTTTAGTTTTTGAGAGGTTATTCTATTGATGCAATTTTTAAAGACAGTGGATTGGAGTCTTGGTACATCCAGCGAGCGAGCAGATCCTGTGGGTAAAGAGCTGCTGTCTACATAGGTTTATTCTAGAGGTGTGTGGGGTTTTTTGGATTTAAATCCTAGGGCAAACAGAAAGAACCACCAGGCTGGGAAGAATGGGTAGGTGAAAGATGGGCCTTAGATCTTTTGCTTTGTGGAGGTGACTTCCTGTGCTGTATCTTTCAGTTCTTGAGCAGTAGTTACTTACATTGGTCTAATTGAGAGGAAATGTACAGCTCTTGTGCTGGAAAGAGCAGACTGACTGAAGCGTAACAGACAGATGTTGCGTGCTCTCTCTGAGCTGTGATGAACAGTATGCTGTATTTGCTTACCTGTAGAAGGAGGACATGATTTTGAAGGGATATTGTCTGAGTGAAGCAGGTTTCAGTTGTCACGTAGACTAATGACATGAATGCTTTTAAAGGACACTTTGCAAAATTTAGCAATGAATGAAAGAGCAGGTAAATCTGAATGGTATTAAGCAAGACTGCTTTCCCCCAGCCCCTTCCTTTCTGCCTATTGCAGAGATAAGTATTAGGTGTCATGAAGGCATAATAGTATCATATCAGATGATGGCAAGGTGTCATTGGACTTCTTTCATAAATTCATATTTCTGCTTTTGTAAACTTCTATAGAATCAGTCGGTCTGTCAGGCTGCTACACAGACTGTGGATAATTTAAACCAGAAAAAGTTCTCAAATAATGAGAGAAAAAACAGCAAGTGGACAGCAGAGGCGGCTGCTACACAGACTGTGGATAATTTAAACCAGAAAAAGTTCTCAAATAATGAGAGAAAAAACAGCAAGTGGACAGCAGAGGCGGAAGAGCAGAAAGGATAAAGGTAAAAAAAAAAATTGGTTTAGATCAAGACTTTTTTTGTTTTGCTTGTTTTTATTACTGGCCTCAGAATTTATTCAAGATGGGGAATCTGTTTAGTCAACAATGGGAAAATTGTCATAAATAATAGTGCCAAACTAAGCTTGGTTCAAGGTAGCAAAGTTGTGGTTTGGGAAGAAAGTACATGTTTTCTTGCTTTGTGATCGTGGCAGGAGAGAGCAGGCTCCTTGCTGGAATTTTTATAGTAAATGGGAAGAGGAATGAGTGAGATGAAAAGACTATCAGAGCTACCCTAAATTAGATCCTGGTAAAATTCTAGTGACTATGGCAGAAACTATTAAGAGTGCTTACTGGAGTCAGTTAAGAAAAAAGCAAGTAAAAGTATTCAATGTGGTGTGGTTAAGAATTGGCATTCAGTGGTACAGAAAGAGGGGAGAAGGTGGTGTACAGAAGAGTTGAACTCCTCTCCCCCCCCTGTTTACAGTAGAAAGAGCTGTCTCATGGTCAAAATTTGTTTGGGTTTTCTCCCTCTCCCCAATCTTTTATAATACTCTTTAGCTTCTCATCATTGACTCTGAGCTTTTCCTCTTCTGGGAGGGAGTGGAACGTGGCAGGAATAGATGAAAGCTGTAGTTGTCAGGAAGTAGTTAGTAAATCTTTGCTAAATGCAACTGATTTTTTTTTTTTTTTTTTTTTTTTTTAATTTTTTTTTTTTTCCTGTCAGCTTTGCCATAACTAAACGATGAATTTGATCTTGGCTTCTTCCACCTTTTTTTTTTCTTTTTTCTTGACTAAATAATGCAAACCCTCTAGCCGCCTCTTAGAAGCTGTTCCTTCCCTCCATTTTTTGGAAATTTTTTTGTTCCCTTATCTCTGGCAACAGCAGAGACATTGCTGTTGTGTATTTATGGTACTTGTGCTCCTTAGTCCCTCTTACAACATGTAATGCCTTCTTGAATAGTCTCGCAAGGACTGATGTTACCTATTTTTCATTCTCCAAACATCTGAAACATTTGAAAACTTGTTTCATCAGCAATGCCAAAATGTTCACGTAGAGAAAGCTCTTTACCACAGTGTTATGATAGATTTTGCTGAAGTGTGTGGCGTGTACAGCTTTCTCTGGTTTTTGTGACACTCCGGGTTGCATTGCCTCTTTTGAAACTAGGTTAAAAATCCTATGGGAATAAACTGTATTTCCTTCTGAGTATGTAGAAATTCCTACTGGTGCTTGGGGACTTGGCAGTAGTTCTCATAATTAGTATTGTTTTAATTTATATTGTTGTGTAGTTGTGATGGTGCATATATTAAGCTTTTAAAAAGTACGTATTGATTTAGCACCTACTATTAAACTTATGCGCATGAATTTGATTGGCAAGCAGTGGTGACCAGATTTGAAGAACTTGTACAGATCTTATTATATGATTATGCTATCACTGTTTTTCAAAACAGTCTTCCCTCCCCCAAGTATTTGCTGGTGCTGGAGAAATTAAACTTTCTGCATCAGTCTGAAAACTTCCTAGATCTTTTGAACCATTGAAACCTTCTAAATGGATCTATCTTTTACTTGGTCAAAAGTAGACAAGACTTTAAGCTTCTGTTCTCTTTAACACTGGAATATGGAAATGCAGATCAAAACATTTTCACTTTAAGCAAAGCACAAACTTACTTCTTTTTCACTAGGAGGGATGTAGGATGAATGATATGTGTTTAAACAGACAGCTACATTTCTTTCCTGCTTCCCTCAAGCATCACTGAAATGGTTAACAAACATCAGTAAAGAACTGTAGAGCTTTGAAAACCCAGGTTGAAATAGCTGCTCTATTACTTCCCTAACAACTGTTTATTTTAGGATGCTTTGATCTTTGATAAAAATTGAAGTTTAAGTTTTCTGAAGTAATATATGCTGAGGTAGGTTTTGTTTTGAAGGTTTAACTTTGGAAAGACAAACTTTTAACTGGCTTAAGTTGTGATAGCCATAAATGGTGTAATGGTTCATTTACTAGGTTATGTCTTGGTGTTGCAGAGTCAAATTCCAGGCAGATCCACTTAAGTCAGAAGCTTGAGCCAAATTCATCTGAGGTAATCCTAAAGAAAAGACCAAATTTTTTTTAAATGTTATTGCTTCTCTGATACATGATTAGCAGAGCAATAGCTGCCTTTAGAGTTGTGATTGCTGCTGCTGCTTTACAGTTTTTAGTGAAATACTTCTAAGGTTGGAGGCTTGTATTGCTGTCAGCTTTCCTCAGCCCCTGTAACCCATACTTATAGTCTTTCTCTGCAATCTGAGTTTTCTCAAATCTGGGTTCTCGAGAGCACGTACGAATTTGGATTTGTAATTGCTTAGTACAGCCTGTACTTTCAGTATAATGGGACCACAGAAGGTTTGATGTTTACTAATAGCTACTGTGCTAACAGACCATAATCTCTGAAGTTCAGTGAAGATTTGTGGCCTCTTGTTGGCTTTTAACCTTTGCTGTCTGCTCAATGAGCACAATGTTACACTAGTATAATAGTGATTGGGTACTTAGCCCTCTTTGTATATAGTGTGGTTTAATATCTTTGTATGCCTCTTTGAAAAGTAAATCTTACTATTAGACTAGCTGTGTCTGTTGTTTCTAACTTTGCTTTAGAAGAATAGTCAAGATGAGAGTTATCCAAAAGCTTCATCTCCTTTGGAACAAGTAAAAACAGATTCTCCAATTCTTGCTGAGCAAGTAAGAAATGTTTGTTTGATTTCAAAGTTTTCCAGTCAGGAGACTTCAGACAAGGGGGAGCTTCATCACAGCCACGTATGTATTATAATACTGGCTTTTAATTATGTAGTCATTTCTACAGTCATAATGCTAAAATTTTGTAATTACAGTTAGGAATCTGTTATGTCCAACATAAAGAATGTAAAAGGGCAACCCTTGTTAGAAAAGTAAAAGTATATACTTCCTGTTCTGAGAGGGGTTATTTCATACCTTTCTGCTAAGATAACCATGCTTTTCTCTTTAAATTCTTTACCTTCGCTTTTTCAGGTTTCTCCAAGGTTATTGGTAATCGTTTGTGAGGGTGGCTTTTCTTTTGGATGGGAGATACTTAAATTTAATGCTTGTGGAGGTGGTTATAACACTGCTGGCTGTCTGTGGTACAGGCACGTTCTGGATAGAGCTCAGTGCAGAGCTCTTCACACAGTGAAGTAATGTATCTCAAATCTCTCTTATGTATACAGCCTGATACATTACTAGTTAATATTTTGCTATGGTGGAAGTCTGGAATTATATGAGTCGTCAAGCCCTGTTTTGGTAGAAGTCAGACGCATTAGGGGTCACCAACAATGGTGACTTAGAATAATTTCATGTGATCTCTTTGTTTTTATAGAACCTGGCAGAATGCTTACCAAGTGTAACTCCAACACCCTCACCAGTCTTTCCTGAGGTGCATTTACCTCCAGCAGTGCCTTCTGTACCAGCCATTGTGCCAGCTTGGCCAAGTGAGCCAACAACCTATGGACCAGCAGGTTTGAAGAAATATTAATATAAATCAGAAACTAATAATCCTGAAAAACACTTTAATGTCTTGCTAAACTGATGATGCCTCCAGGAGACACCGTTTCATATAATGTTGCATTCCAAAGGCAGTCGTTTATAGGAATATAGTTTCTTGCTGCTGAAAGCTGGTGAGAGTTCCAGTAGATCATTGATTGCCTGAATGCATAGTTTGCTTTACTCCCTACCTGAAGGCAGAAGAGGGATGTGTACTCAATTCTCTGTTTTTTCTCCCAAGTGGGATAGCATTGAGTTTTGAGGGGGCTTATTCTGAGGATCTGCTTAAGACAGAACATGTTGTCAGCATGTTGAAGCTTGATATGTGTTTGTGCTCTCCCTCCCATGTGTAGTAAGCCCCTCGATTCACTGAGGACTCAGCTTGGGCATGATACATCTGGAGTTAACAAGAGCCATTTGGACCTGAGCTGCAAAGCCAGCACGATGGTTTCTTTGTGCTGTCTTTATCTTCTGATACATGGAATTAGCTTAGATTCAGTATTGCTCATTAGATCAGGTGCTGTATTTTCTCTCCCACTGTTGTGTTTCTGCACAAGAACTAGCTTTCAAACCAGCGTTCAGTTTCCTCCTTTTTTTCCCCCCCCCTTCCTATTTCCTTCTGGTATTTGTAATTTTAAAAATAAATATAGGAAGGGTTTAGCAATTTCTGGAAAGCTTAACTATTTCACTTTTTCTGAAAACTGTTTTCTGCATTTAGCCAAATCTTTTGTTTGTTACTTCCTGACTCAAGAGTTCCCTGTTATGTCTTCCTGAATACCTTTTTTCTTTTTTTTTTTTTTTTCTTCTGTTTTTCAAACTTCTTTCCTGCTGTCATTTTCTTTTGTGATTGTATATAGTTGAGCTCTACGTATGAATGTCTTTTTTTTTTTTTTTCCCTTAGGTATCCCAGCCCAAATACCTGCTTCTTCATTGATGCCAGCCCCAGCAACGGGACCTGACTCTATTGTATCACAGGCTCAGGTAACATCTGCTCCAGTTGCTGGAGTCTCCGTGTCACTACAAGCGGTTAACCAGCCTTTAATGCCTTTGCCTCAGACTCTGAATCCGTATCAGGATCCGCTATACCCTGGATTCCCTTTTAGTGAAAAGGGAGAAAGAGCTGTTGCACCCTCTTACTCCCTGTGCAATACTGGGGAAGACTTACCTAAAGGTGAGAAGCTAGGAAAAAGTCTGGATTTTATAGCATTTTTCCTAATAGGTTTTCTTTTCTTAAAACGTAGATAAAGACCATGTCTTTGGTTCTGTTGTGAGTCTGTGTCAAAAGATCTAATTGTCATCATTCTATGATTTAAGGTGTGGGAGGGAATATTGAATAGAGTTGTAACTCTAGTTTGTGTTGCTAACATTGCGATTATTTTAAGTGGTTACACCTGGAAATCTGATACGATCATTTTGTGGTTCCTAGCGTGACCCATCATAACTTGAGTTTTTGTGAATGTAAAGGATTTTCTTTGGAAAGCTTCCTTTTACAGTAACAGGTTTTCTCTTGTAATCAAAAGCTTGGAAGTTGTTTGAGCATTTCCTTACTGGTCTGGTAAGATGAAGGTTTTGGCATACTACAAATATGGAATATGCCCATAAAGCACATATCATGTTTGACTGCACGGTGGTGTTTGTTTACTGAACTGTTTCTTTAAAAACTAGAAGGTTACTTCCACAAACTGTTAAAACTGAAATTTTAACTGCAGCTGTGTTGTAGACATCTTACTGTGGCAAAAAACCAAACCAAAACAAAAACCGAATCAATCAAAGACATGCAAGCAGCAACTTGATACCAGTGTTTCTCTTCTGAAATAGCACTTTACGCAGGGACTGATTTTTGGATCAGATGAAGTGTAACGTTTTAGGTCTTCATAGATATTTTTCTGTGTTTTTTTCCCCAGATAAGAATATCCTTAGATTTTTCTTCAATCTTGGTGTGAAGGTAACTCTTCAAACTTACTTATGTGTTTGTTATACCATAAAATTTGCTTGTATTTGGTAGTACTTGGAGTGTAAAAGTTTGGTTGCTGCAGCTGTACGCTTCAAGTTCATCTTAAAATTTATTTCTGTTGACTTGAACTGCAATGTGGACCACTGTTGGGATCCCAGTTAACAGAAGACAAAATAAGAAAGTATTTCAAATTTAATCTCAACAGTGATCGTGAGAACGATTGGTTTCCGACTTGTGGCTATACAGTCAACAGATTGTGCTTTACAAATGCACAGGTAAACCATTGTGAGTTAAGATGAATTCTTTCGGAAGTGGTGTATAGTAAAAGAGAAAAGGCCCTCAGAATTTGACCGTGTCCATGTACTGGCAAAGCCACTGCAGTACAAATACCAACTGTGTCGCTCCCTCTGGACACTCCCTTAAGTAACCTGCACGTCTGTCCTTTCTGCTCGGGTTAAGGACAACAGTATTCTACGTTTAACCTTCTAAGTAATTGTAATAGCTGTTGATGTGTATGTGTGGTGCAAATTGTGTGTGTGACTGGGGAAGAGGCTCATCTAAAAAGGCAACACTTTCCACTTCTTGGCAAGGACTAGTTGTTTGCTTAGTTTCTCCCTTCAGCACATAAAAATGTTCCTTTTGTCAGACAAACTACTTTGGAAAAGGTGCTGAGAGCTCTCAAGCTTATTCCACGTGCCTTTGGCCCTAAGTAATGATTTTCTTTGGTGTCTGTGCATGGAAAGAGGGAACGTTCAGCACAACTTGCAAAGTAAATTTAGATTTGATAACTGTGTGCCTAATACAAGTTTCTTTGCTTAATAGAAGATCCATAAGTCATTAGCAAGTGTCACTGCAATATATTTAAACAGCGTTTGTTTCATAAGCCTACGTATATTTGGGACGCTCCTCACTGGTACTCCTGTGTCAGTTAGTATATAGACTGTCATTTTGGTGCTTCAGCACCATCTACTGGTCAAAGTACCATCTTCTAGTTGTGCTCCTCAGCTGGTGACCAAATGGTCTGGTAGACCTGGGAACTGCTTCCTGCATTACCCTGTCTACTGCCTTGGTCCCAGATCCTGCCATGCTGTTACCCACACCTGTCAGGAGGAGCTCTGGGTGGGCTTCTCAGGGTGGTTTGCTCTGGGGACTGTTTCTATAGATGGCACAGACAAGACCCTGCCAGGTTTTTGGGCTCTGCCCTCTACCTACTTCCGTGTTTTCTTAGACAGCCTTGTGCCTCCGGCAGCCTTGCATGGTGTTCTGTATGGCCTGAAATCGGTGTATTTTGCACGTTGTATTACAGAAACATCCTAGAGTTGTTGCTCTTGGGGCAGTTGGTACCTACTATAGCACAAACACAAAGCCTACGTTTATAAACTTTACCTCCGAGCGGTGTAACCGTAAGCCACTAGTTAGTTAATGAAGAAGGAGAGGACGGGGAAGGGGGTTGCCACCTGCGGTGGGCGAGTTCAGTATTGTGAGCGTAGCTTGCGTTCACTAACAGCACAGAAAAGGTTGCTGCTGAAAATGGCGTGTGTCCGCCGTGCGACTCCCCCAGTAGCTGGAGAGCGTGGTATATTCTGACGAAACCTATCCCCTCCTTTATGAAAGGGCTTCTAAGAAAGCTGGTCTGTGGGTTGCGCGTGTGTGCATGTATATGGATTTCAATTTCTACACATTGCTCTTGGGAACATGATCTAACTTTGGGTCTTGGTGTAGTCTTTTAAGTGAAAATACGTGTGTGGTATGACTTCTTGTTGTTTTGATTGTTATCCCTTAGACTGTTGAAAAGGGAGCTACTAGGGCAAATTGCTGATTAATAATAGTGATTCTGAAAAATGAATTTGAAATCTGTGTTTTTCAAATGCATAGCGAAAGCTTGACTTTATAGTTAATTTAAACAGATGATGCTATTTAGAAATTGTTACCAAATTTTCTTACTGGTCATAACTGTTTCCCATTGCAGCTGCATTTGGGAGGCAAACAAAAAATGAGAACATCATCCTGGAGTCCTAGATATTTAGAATTGAGGGCAGTCACTAAATAAAACTCACCTTTACTTCCTGTGATGTACTGTTTCAAAATGGTGAATGACCTGTGTGCTGCTATGTTTGTCTGACCATTCAAAAGACCAAATACTTTTTCTTTTTTGTCTTTTTTCCCCCCCTCCTGTCTTGCAGGCATACTGTTGTCCCATGTGGGCACCCCATTCTTACTTGTACCCCCTGCACCAGGCCTATTTAGCTGCTTGTAGAATGTACCCAAATGTGTCCCTTCCTGTGTATCCACACAACCCCTGGTTCCAGGAGGCTCCGCCGACTCAGAATGAAAACGAAACTGCACGAGCAAACAGGCACTTCCCTGTTCCAAGTGAGGCCAGATCCAATGGTCAGATTCCACAGGCTGACAGCAGATCTCCATCGCTGCCTCTGATCATACCTACAGCTCAGGTGTCAGAAAGTCAAGGACAGGTCTGCGTAGAGTCGGAGAATCCAGTGCAAGCTCTTCACGCAAACTATGAGGAGTCCCTGAGAGGGAAAAATATGTTCCCACAGCCGCCCTTTGGACACAATCACTTTCTAGGAGCTGTTCCAATAGCACCTCCTTTCTTTCCTCACTTCTGGTATGGGTACCCAGTTCAGGGTTTCATTGAAAGTTCAGTAGCAAGACCTAACGTTGTGCTGTCGCCCGAGGACAAAGAGGCAACAGCCAGCACCTCTGCGAACGTGTATGCGGCTAAGGAGTGCAGCCCTCCGGTTCCCGTAATGAACTCTGCAGAACAGCTTCCCAAGATGAGCAGCAGCGGCGGCTCGAACGCCGTCCCGTTCCCTGTGGCTGGTGCAAGCGGTGAATGCAGTGCCCCGACAGAAACTTCAGCCAGGGCACCCCAGCTGGAGCAAACTTGTCCTTCGGCTTCTCCTGCCAGGCAAAAACCAGCTGGGCAGCAAAACCGATCTCCGCAAACACAGGGGACTGAGAGGCAGACAGCAGTGCCCACCGCTCCGCCGCTGTTGGCAGAACTGCCGAAAAATGAACTGAAAAACAGTGTTCCCAGTCGTAAGGAGAAGACTGATAAAGGTAGAGATTGCAAGGGCGCTGGTAACCCGCAGGTGGAAAGCAGGGCGCAGAGAACGAGGGAAGAGAGCTCCGAAGATGAGAGTGAGGTCTCCGACATGCTGAGAAGTGGTAGATCCAAGCAATTTTATAACCAGACTTACGGAGGAGGCAGAAGGCCTAGGCTGGAGTGGGGCTATTCCAGTAGGGGAGGGTACCAGTTCCAAAGAAACGAGGAGGCCTGGAAAGGAGCACCCGGCCGAAGCAGAGACGAGGGCTACCAGTACCAGCGAAACTTTAGAGGGAGGCCGTATAGGAATGACAGGAGAAGGGCAACACTGGGAGAGAATCAGAGGGGGCATCAAGCGTAGAATGAACGGATAATTGAAAATTCTAAAATGCAAAAAGTAATTTGAAGTAGCAGTTTAAAATCTTAATCTTTCTTTTTAGTAAAAAGTTCAAGGATACGTTTAACTGTCAGCGAGTAAAGACTAGGGAGGATGTGAACTCCTACCATACGGTTTTTTTTGGGATTATAGAGTTTGTTTGGCTTAGCGTTTTTTCCTCAATGTCAAATTAGAAAAAAAAAAACCAATATAGGTTTAGTGTTTGGTAATTTCCACCCCCCCACCCCCAAGGTTTGAGTTTGTGATAGAGGATGGATACGTACGTTTACTGGAGTGACAGATTATAGCATTTGATGTGGTCTGGATTCTAAAACTGATGGTAACATTGCACCAAATATAAATGTATATTTTATCATACAATGCCTTAGTTCTGAACTGAGCTAAAGGAATTCTCAGCCTACTGCACTGTTGTCTTTGATATGCTTCCAACCCAAAGGCCTTTCATCTCAAAAAGAAGAAGAAAAAAAAAAAAAAAAAAATCTGTCAAACTTGAATGTTTCTCTTCAGTGTGTGACATGTATGGCAGCCAGCTAACCCTGTGTCTTAGGTATGTTGTATATAGTTCTTTTCATATTCATAGGGTATATTTTTGAATTTTAAAAAGCATTTATTTGTTGAAAAAAAAAAAAAAAAAAAATCTGTCAAACTTGAATGTTTCTCTTCAGTGTGTGACATGTATGGCAGCCAGCTAACCCTGTGTCTTAGGTATGTTGTATATAGTTCTTTTCATATTCATAGGGTATATTTTTGAATTTTAAAAAGCATTTATTTGTTGAAATCAAAATCAAGACAAGCAGTCAAGAATAGCTGTGTATGAGTTGATCAGAATGGCTGTTTCCACCGGGAATTCTTAACGCTGGTGTGGCTAGAATGGTGCCTATGCCAACTGAATAATTACAAAGACAATAAAAATATAGATGCTATGCATTTCCAAAATAATTCTGCATCTGTTATAATAGCAGAAGTTTTTTTAATGCCACTTTAACACTAATGCACTGACAAATCCTAGATATTTTGTGAGGAGAGATGCATAAGGTACACGTTACGTTTTTTTAAGTTTGTATGTTTGAGCTACTGTTCAGTATTCTTTTGTTGTTGCACTGTTGATGCAAATTTATGTTTTGCATGTACAGCTCCTTGCTGGAACTTTTAAAAGCAAGATGGCGAGTCTTGGTGTGCTCTGCTCTTCCCTACAATTCAGAAGAAAGTGGCTTCTGCCTTATATTTTTACACTGTGTCAGAGCTCCGATGCTGTTTCTTCTGACCCTGGTAACGATCTCCACAGTGTTCCTGGGGCCTTTGCAGTTTGGGTGTTCAGCTGTCCAAACGCGGAGAGCGCAGCACGCAGTGTTCGCTCAGCTCTGTTGCTCTGTAAAATCAACTGTTGTGTATATTTTTATATCTCTGTATATACCAGCGTAGGCGATGGTGCCCTTTCATTCGTGTCTGAAATTGTACACCCTTGATCAGGAAACTTGAGTGATAGTTATGTGATAAAGGATTTCTTTTCAGATGCATGCCATGTATAAAACCCTACTTAAAACAAATGTTTGTCTTTTCACATTCTTTCTGAATTACATTTACGTAGCTGAAACTATTGCAGTGGCATTGAGTGTATGGCTTTGTTCTGGCAGAGCCGCTTGTAGACAGCAGGACAACTGTAAACAGGTAATACACAGGCAAGCTGCAAACGGAGAGGACTGGATTTCTAGTTCTTGTTCAAAATGGTAGGGGCTCTGCTGTGGGTTTTTTAAATTTAAATGCTTTTCCATTCAGAAGTGTATTCAGCACTTTGAAAGAGCCAAGCTCCAGTTTTTCAGGTTGAAAACTAAGCAAGCACTGAGTGATTTAGCAGTCGATACCAGTGTGGTCCTCTGCCTACCTGTAGTGCTTACAAAAAATTAAAAAGAAGCTTCTTGTGTTCTTTCCTGGCACGTTCTAAAATGTAACTCCAGTTGTAGCCCCAATTCATCCAGCAGTCATTGAAATAATAATTCAGTACTAGAGGAGGCATTTACTCAGTGAGTTTGTTGCAAAAAGAAAGGCAGTACACTCTCTGCAGAAACTTCCTGGGAAACAATGGAAAACGTAGGCATGGCAGTAACTGGTAGGGCCGTGCTTTTAGAACTTAAGTTAATTTTTAAAATTAAGTGTTTAAGCTGGGCTGATGCCCCCTAGGACATTTAAGGACTGGAATGTGCAGATGTAGGATTTTCTGCACTTTCCCTGTTGATGAGGTAATTCATGGATTCTTCTGGTTCTGCAGAAAGACTTGTGGATTGATTGGCCAAACCCTTTACCCAGGGCAAGAGGGTTTAGGTTGCGTGTTCTAGGATGTTGTTGTTAGGGGACTATATGGGTAACATTTGGCATATATGGAGCAGAGATAGATACCCTCAGGTATTTACAAAACCACATCTTTACCTTACCCTAACAGAAGACGCAGAACTCAAGTCCAAAGGAATTTGTACTGATCTGCATGACTTAAATGTAAGTTTTGGCTGGCCTCAGGCAGTTTTTTGGTCTAAATGCATGCTCTTGGTGGCGTAAGGCTGCAGTCGTTACCTGTGCTGCTTCCTGGAGGTGCTACTGCTGGCATAATACAGAAGGCTTTCTGGTGCCAGTTAGGCATATTGGGTGTCTGTTACATACACTACCTCGCTACTGCCAAGGTTAGAAAATACCCAGGTTACTGACACACACATTATGGCTTAATAAAAAGACAAACCACTGCTGCCTTCTGTAACTGACGAGGTAAAAATGTAAATAAAGAACAAAGTTGTGTTTTCTTTCATTTCATGTGCCAGTGAAGGCAGAACAGACAACTGTTGCATGGAAAATACCCTTCCTTACTTTTAAGATCTGTAACTGGAAGTTGTTTTTACACGTCTGCAGCACTTACACAAGTACGTAGGAACCCTTAACTATACAGGCACTTTTCCCTCTGTTTCCCTAAAGGAGCTTTCTTTATATGGAAACTGATTTTTGACAAGCTGTTTTTTTATCTACCTTCATTTTTGCCTACAATAAGGATCAAAGCTTTTGCTTTAGGCAAAAATAACTCTTGCATCTTAACTTAATCTTTCCCTGGGAAGGTGGTGGGTGCCAGCACTTACTGATGGAGGAAGGAGTTGGAAAACAACCATTAACCTTTCTTCACTATGTAGGTTTAAGTTACAGAAGATCGAAAGGATTTTAATATTTTCTTTAAGACTTTATTTAACTGATCATTCTCCTGTTACTAGGTCTGAGAAGATGCACAGGGACAGATGCACTCCCTCTTTTGTGTGTTCTTTTCTGGAGTACAAGAAAAGGTGTGTGTGACAACATCATATAAATATACATATTTTTGAATTAGTAATTCAAGAATTAGAGCTGTTATGAAACCCTCATCCAGAGAGCTTCAGCCTTTTAAGATGGGAGTCGCTGCTGCTGTAGCTTGCCATTTGTCGTAAGCTTCCCTCTTGTACGTAACAGCTCCAAAGATTTTTAAAATGAGGAAGTGCAGTCAGTACTGGGTACATAAATAGCATATATTGAATTGAAAACCTCCTTTAGATTTTGAAAAATCAGGAGACTTATTTGCATAATATCAAGGTGGTCTATTTTGAAATTATTACACTGAAAATAGGGCTGTGTCACCAAAATATAGAAAGTGGCAGTTTTACTCAGACTAGGCTTTACACTGCTACTGCTCTCAGATGTTACACGCAGCAAGAGATTTTAAGCTCCAAAAAAATTAAGTGTTCTAAAACCTGATTGAGCTTTCTCATCCACAAATGTTTAGGTTCCAATATGCATTTCTATATGCCAGTTACAAAGATGCTTGGGCTCAGTATTTAGTCATCCAGGAAGAAGTAGTTTCCACTCTTCTTTTGTTCCACATCCTTGGGAAGAGAGAAAAAGCCAGTATTACTTGAAGCACTTTTTGGCAGACTTCAACACAGCTGAAATAAAAGTCACTTATCTAAGCTCTTTTCTACTTGTTTTCCACCACAGCAGAACTACCAGGTCAGTCTTAATTTTGTTCCTTATTTTAAAACCTGGCTTTATATTAAACAGCCATGGCTTCTTTACAGTAAAGGTCCTCCTTTCTTACCTTGATTGAATTGAGTTTGTTTATTCTTGGTCTGTAATTGTTGGGGTCTCTTCTAAAAGTGATTTCAAGTTGAGATAAAAACTTATTCATTCCAGCCAAAAGAGTCTGTGGACTGTTAAGAGAGAAGAACATTCCAGTTAAGTTTTCAGAAGTTCTGTGCTGTGCAGGTGACAGGCAGTGTGGATCTCCACTTAGAGCTTGCAGTTGTGTTACCAGACCTGAATCTGACCTACCACCACCTGCTACATTTCAGTCAAATCACCTCTCCCACAGGAAGTCGTAACTACTACTCTCCTCTTTCAGTGGCCTCTCAGCGTGGCAGTACCAGTCTTCAGACTGCTCTGCCTTTACGATCCTTTTTACTTTGTATGCACACCAGCCCCTGTGCAGGCACACTTAAGTCACATTCGAAGAAAAAAAAAACCAAGAATTGCACCATCAGCAAGATACCATACACTGATGCTGAGAAACGGCCACGTGATCATCGTTTAATTCAAATGAGCGAGCTTTTTGAAGGAACACCACCAAACCCAGGCTCGTGGTGCGCTGTAAACACAGTGAGCACGTTGCTAGACCAGCGCATTTACTTCACCTGGCTGGCGTTACATACTTTGTAGTTACACTGTTCTAAAAGCCTGGTTTCTAATGAGGCTGCTCATCAAAAAGTCCCTGTAATTTACATGAAAGTATTTACAGGAACAAAAGACAACGCATCAAAAGGGACAGCTTTGAAAGAGTAACACTCCCAGATAGCGTACCTTACACGTGGCTGTCAAGACTTCCGCACAGGCACCCTAAGTACGCCACTTTCCATTAATCTGTCTGAAAGCTGTTTTCAGCAGCACAGGTTATAACTGGTCCCTTTTTTCATTCCTTACAATCCATGCCACTTACTTGTTCTCCTCTGACTGTAACTGAATGGGTGTGCAGGTGCTTAAGGCTAGTTTAAGCCAGGAGCTGGTCTAGTTTTTGAGGACTTGGTTGCATTCTCCCAACAATGCCCCAACCCCGTGCCTCAGCAGCCTCTAAGAGCGGGTCGCTCCCATTTTATTTTCCTCGCTTCAAAACAAAAGCCAGAACCCTCAGGACACTCTTGGATCACTTTAAATGCAACTTAAAATTTCCACAGGCAGGGATGCTTCACCTCCTTATTTTTGTTGACGCTTCTGATAATTTATTTCTACGTCATCCTCCTTTATGTTGCTTACTACGCCAACAAGCCTCTTACCTGTTCGCAAGTGTGTTCTTGGAAGGAATGCCATCAAAAACAATCACACGATCAGCAAGATATGTAGCCATGATGAAATCGTGTTCTACCACAAAAGCTGTTTTTTTAGCATGGAGGATGAAACTGAAATAGAAATAAAAAAATAGAAGAGAGAACAATGTAAACTTAGCGTAAAACCACTGAAAATTTCAGTTAGTTCTCCCATCTCGTATACTTTACCGTTTAATGACTCTAGCAGCCATGAGACGTTGTTCAGAGTCCAAATATGCTGACGGTTCGTCAATCAGGTAGACATCTGCAGGTTTACCAAGACAAAGAGCTAACGCAACGCGCTGCAACTCACCACCAGACAACGTCTGAACCTATTGGGGCGGGGGAAATAAGGCCATCTTTAGTTCAGGTACAGGCAGAGAATTAAAGAGGAGGAGGAGGAGTTAGGATGTTTTCTCAGGCAATTAATACCTCCTGGTCAATGATGTTTTCTATTTGAAGAGGTTTCATTACATCGGTTACAAACTGCGGGTGTGTATAGGCATCTCTGATCTTCTCATGCAGTAGCTGACGGACACTTCCCTATGAAAAGAAAAATGCTGCCACTCAGTTTTATGCACCACACCACAAGAAATAGAATAGAGCTTTTTGTTCCGGCCATGATGTCCACCGTCTCTGAGGTAACGTGGAAAAAACAGAAGCTCATGATATCCATGGGGTGAGGGGAAATGGATGAGGGGGAATGGCCTCAAGTTGCACCAGGGCAGGTTTAGATTGGACATTAGGAAAAGATTTTTCACTAAAAGGGCTGTCAAGCACTGGAATGGGCTGCCCAGGGAAGTGCTGGAGTGTCCCCATCCCTGGGGGTATTTAAAAGCCGGGCAGACGAGGTGCTTAGGGCCATGGTTTAGTGGTGGGATGGCAGGGTTAGGTTAGCGGTTGGACTTGATGATCTGAAAGGTCTTTTCCAACCTAAACGATTCTATGATTCTATGATGAAATCCTATCCGTGTACTACGAACGTGCTTTTTTAGCAAACGCCATACTTGATAAATAAGGCTTAAACGTACTGTAGATTTAGGACTGATCTTCTGTGGTTTGTAGCTGACATTTAGAACTGGGACCTCACCTATAAAAAGATAAAATTCATAATGTAAACAAGAGCCTTTCCAGGATCTTCAGAATAGGTTTCAACTAAGGTATTAAGCGTTACCTCCTTCATCAGGCGTAAGTCTTCCTGCAAGCATTCGGATAAATGTAGTTTTGCCAGTTCCTAAAATAAAACACAAGTTATATAATACTTCAGATTTTTCAGTAACTTAGACCTCTAACAATTAAGTCATTGATACAAAATAAGAAAGACTTAATAAAGAATGCATATGACAATTCGGCTGCTTTGAGAATTCCTATGTTCACTTCCAGCAAGCAGCACTTGCTATTGCTTTTTCCAATGGAAGAGACATCTAAAGCTACCGCAGTCTCGACTTGTGGCTCAGCTCACTGGGTCAATCGTCCTCCTGCCACTCAAAACAGGGTAAGTGACAAACACAATGGCATTGTTAACATTCTGTAACTTCAAGTTCCCGGTGTTTAGAAAGCGAGCTCATGGGGTGACACCTCCACTGGGAAACAAGCACTTCAACCTGACTCAAACACAGTGATTTTGAAGCCTGGCTTCCAGACTTGGAAAAGGGCTTTAGGAGCATATTTAGGACTGCAGAAGCAGTTTCCAACAAGAGTTGCACTTACCGTTTTCCCCCAACATCACCATAATTTCAGAATCAGTGAATTCTCCAGCTACTATGGATAGCTCAAATTCTCCCATCTTTTTTTTCATTCCTGGATATTTGTACATACACATCTTTTTAACCTCTTCTTCGTTAGCCGTCTCAGCCACTTTAAATACCAGAGATGCATCTCGAAACCTTAGATTTTCTGTTGGAACATAGCCATCTAAGAAAATGTTTATGCCTATGAAGGGAAGAAAAAGATCATTAGAAAAGGTCTAGAAGAAAAAGATCATTAGAAAAGGTCTACAGCAAAGCGAGGCAAGGTGAATTTCAATTCTTGGCTGTAAATTCCAGTCAGATAAGGAGAACGTTAGATTTTAAATGGCACGTTAAAAGAGGCAACGAAACCTCCTACTTGCAAGTGTGTGTTACACAAATTGAATGAACAAAAATCTTAACTAAAAGTACAGAAAGGTTGTAGCAGCCCTTCCTGAAAACCTGCTACTAGTAATGTGTGTAGGGTTCAGAGAAACTCCTGCTGTTGGACCCATTCTCACAAAACCTGTTGTTACCGAGTCTCAGCGCTACAAGCGTGGTCAATGCAGCTGGACACTGCATCCCTCTGCACCGTGCACACTGTCTCCTGCCCTTTCTCTATTTATAGGGTGTTTTGCGTAACTCCACTGTTTACAAAACACCTGCAAGTTTCAAAATTATGTCCATAGCAAGAGACAAAGGGCATTTCATAATTAAGCCTGTTGGGCTGAGTTATAAACTTAGGATCATGTAAAACAGAAATTCTGCACAAAATAGAAGGGCAGTGTTTTTGTTACTGAACTGTAACAGGAAGACGACATGCTGACATAATGGACAACTAGCGGTTTGGTACCTTTTTTTTTTCCCCCCTTATGTAGAATTTTTTTGGTATGCTTAAAAAGAGAAATATGGCAAGAATTACCTTCTCTTACGCTGAAAGGCATAGTAACAACACCGTAAGCACTTGGCACACCGTACAGGCAGCAGATGAAGTCGGAGAGATAATCTAACACACTTAGATCATGCTCTACAACAATAATGTACCTGAAAAATAGAGCCAGAGAGATGCTTTTGTTCAACACAAAGCATTTTTTCTTTCTTTCTTACTCTAGTCTCGCATAAGCAAAAGCTATCATTTTCATTTAATATGGTTTCTTAGCTTTATACTACGTAAGGACAGAGGTCAAATCTCTGATAAGCATTTTCTTTTAAACTGTCCAATAAACAGACATTGTGAATGACAAGTTGAAAGTCCATCTTCAGTGTAAATTGGCAGCTTCTTTACGTACAGTAAGTGGAAGGATATTGATTGACTGGAGCGAAAAATACTTAGCACATTTAAAAAACAAAAAAGTCTTTGTGAGAAGGGGATAAAACAGCAATGTTCAGGTGAAAAAAAGCCACCTACATTATCACATCCGTATTACAAAATGCTGAAATAGTATAGAAACTATAGGAAGTAAGTTTCCAAAATGCAAAGGAAGAGAGTATTACTGACTTGGAATATTTTAAACCAATATTTAAAGTATTAGTGTACCATATTGAGAAGTCAGCACTTCTAGGGAGATGGACTGGAGGTTTCTTCCCTCTGGACACAGTCACTGATTATGACAGTCTAGCAAAACATTTGAAGTTTGTATTTACCTGTCAGGGTTTATAAGGGATCGAATCGTAATGGCAGCCTTCAAGCGCTGCTTGACATCTAGGTAGCTAGAAGGTTCATCAAACATGAAGCTAGCCCCAAAAGAAAGAATGAAGTCTTAGTGAATGCAAGCTTTCTATGTATTCAAGCCTAATAATGCTAACGTTCCAACCATTACATACACAGACATAAAAAATTATCATTATTTATATTGAGAGAGACAAAAAATGAGAATTATGTACTGACATCTGCCTTGAATCTCTGATGACTGTCACCTGAAATTGTTAACCGTTCGAGTTAAGTATTACTTTGCCATAAGCTCTGACAAAGTTATCAAATGTTATGAGAAATCAGCAATCAGTTAGGAATCCCATGCACTCAGTTCTGATTCAGCTTAAATTTAACATGAACTGAAAAGTGCAAAAATTCTTTAGGAGATTGGAAGAAGGACATCTTCCAAAAAAGGAAAAAGAAAACAAGAAAACCCACCCAAAACTTGTAACAATCAAAAAACCCCAGCCAAACAAAAAAAAAAACCAAACCATAACCCAAACAACAACATCAACAAATTTTAAAAAATTCAAAACAAAAAAAGAAAAATCAAAACCCCATAGCTCTTCTGATCTTGCTTTCTTGGTCCCAAGGAGCCAGGAAACAGCATAGACTGGACAGTAATCCCCTGGCTGCAAGAGAGGAGAAGAGGGACCCGAGTTCCCAGAGGTGGGGAAGCGTCTGTCCGTTTCTTACTCAGAGAGGCTGAGAGAGGTAACGCTGTCCAACGGGATACGTGGATGTGGGATTGGGGAAAGGCTATGAAGTTGTGATGCCGAAATTTAACACTGGCCTCTGAAATCAGCTATTTCCAGCCAGATGAATTAAAGTATAAAAACCCCAGAGATTATATAAGGAGTAAATATGGATCTTGGCTGCTGAGTTGGTAAAAAAATTAAAAAAAAATCCTTTTGTTTAAATATTTCAAACAAAAGCGTTTTCTAACAGTAAATATAAATTAGAGGACCATATTCCAAGACAGATTATTAGAAGCAATGTGTAACAGAAGTAAATTAAACATACATATCAGCCTTCTGAATGCAAACAACTGCACAAGCAAATCTCTGAAGTTCTCCTCCTGAAAGATCCTCAACATTTCTTTCTTTCAGATGGGTTAAGTCTGCAAATAAGTGGTTAATTTTAGATATGTTATAACCAACACAACAGTTCATATCTTTATTACCTACAGAAACATGTATAATCACAGCAGACATCCTACACAGAGTTAAAAACAGAAAGAAGTAAAGTAAGTGTTCCGTTTATAGAGAAGCATCATAATGCTATTTGTAAGTCACAGCAAGTTACGGCTTCTCTGCAGCACTAGCTGATTAATTTGCATGGCTGCTTCTTATCATGCAGAAGAACTACGTTTCTATTTGGGTTTCCACTGTATGTTTGGTAAAGATTCCTGGCCCTAAAAAGAAGCTATACCAGTTTTAGAAGTGTTTCTTGTTAGACCTGGCTGCAGAGTTCTGATTTTCAGGAAATTCAAGTCCCCCAAACACTGCAGTAAATGGGTGAAGGCGGGATCTTCTCATCAGCTTTAGGAACAGCAAACTGCGCAAATAGACTGTTTCACTAGTAAGTGGGACTCAAAGACCATGCTCTTGGTGGCCCAATGCAGCCCCACCTTTACCACCCAGATCCACCAAAAAGAACTCTGTTGTTAACTTAGCACACCTAAATTAACAACTAAATTTAACAACTGAATTCAAAACACCTACAAAAAATTACCAGGGCTGGACTATGCAGATGTTCTTCTTATCAATTGCATTATTCTCAGAAGTCAGTATTACTCCCATTATTAGCTATATACAGGGGGGGTTTGGAAAAAAAAAGTATTTTTTTTTTGTACTTGGATATTTTCTATATGCAGTGGTTCTCATAAGAGGGGGTACTAAGATTTTGCCAGAGTTATAAGCAAGAGCAGCAGATGGTAACTAGATTTTTTCCAGATTTAAAAATAAACACTTTCTACCATGAGACAGAAACTGCACTAGATTCTGTTAACTAGCATGTATCAATTAGTTTGCTTTTGCCACTAGGAAGTATTATTTGCATTGGTTCAGATATGCTTATAGCAAGCCCTAGGCTGTAAACTAAAGCATCTTTTTTCAATTTAAATCTACTATCACATTAGTAGTAACTTTATTTTTTCAGTAAATATGAATTTCTCAAACTTTGAAGTTTGACTTTACAAAATCACTTACCGAGCTGCTGACATACAACAGTTTGTGTCTTAGTTTCATCCTTCCTATCCAGAATTGATCCCACTGTTCCCTGAATGATAAATAATAAAAAACCCCACAACATTATTTCAATATTAAAAATTTCAGACAGTAGTGAATTTTTGACATTGAATTCTGCTGCTAAACAGAATCTTTAAACACAAGAGAAGTTTTACAAGAAAAGCTCACAACTTTCTATTAGCTCATGAAATTTCTCACCTTTGCAGCTTTAGGGATCTGGTCCACGTACTGAGGTTTAATGATAGCTTTCAGGTCATCTTCCAGGATCTTGGTAAAATAATTTTGTAATTCAGATCCTCGGAAATAAGTCAAAATTTCTTGCCAGTCAGGTGGATCCTGTGACAAAATTAAAGCCTATGTTTACTTATACCATTCCAAAACATCTTAAAAAATACCTGATTTTAAAATTCAGATCAATACAGCAAATAGAATATGCTTGCAAGATTAAAAAGAAAACTGCCTGGATAAAAGCTAGTTACCAAATTGTTATGTTGCCTCTGCAAAGTTTCCATTAAAAAAAAAAAAAAAAAAAAAAAAAAAAGAAAAATTCCAACATTGCAAAATGGAAGGCAAAAAGTTCAGTGTTTTTTCTCCCCCAGGTGTCACTAGCCCCTTTCAAGAAAAAGCATTTTAAATTTGCACCTAGCGCATCCAAAGCTGGCCTTAGACAGTTAAGAAGCTATGAGTGAAACTACTTCATGGGGACAACAAAGCATGGATTACTGCAACTGCACTTACTATCTGGTCCAGCTAATCCACAGGAAAAGGCTTGGACAGATAAAAATCAACTTGCACAAAAGATGCAATAAAATTTGGTAATTTGCTCTGCTTCTAGCAAACATTTGCAAGGGAACAGAAGGAGAAGACAAAGGAAAAACGACCAAAAAAAAAAAAAAAAAAAAAAAGAGAAACTGTTCAGAGCAGTCACCCAGGAGAAAGTCCCAACTTGTACAGTTCCATTTTACACAGTGTACTACTCTGAATGGTGCAGAGTTAATTATTTTGATGGTAAACAGTACGGAAACAGAGCGACACAACCATATTTCCAAACCAAGCAAATACACAGAGGAAATGCTTCTAAAGTTTTAGAGCAGAAGCAACATGGAAGATTCAATTCATACCACGTGTTTCTGTGGTCATAATGATTTGGCTCTTCACAGGAAAGTCTGATTTTGGAAGCATGGTAATTCAATTAAGCACACATTCAGAAAGTCAAAAGTTTTGCTATTTCTGCAATACTACCACCTGAAACAAGAAGTCCACAAAATAATATAAACCAAACTTGAAAGAGAACGGAAAATGTAGCTGGGAAATGATTATTTCTTTGCAGCTTTAAGTGGCAGCCATGAAATGGATAATTTATTAAAGCGTTAACTCTTTCAGGTAAAGAAACTGATGAAGAAAGTTTGAAGACACTTTTTCCTACAAGTCCTTCTTGAAGGACAAAAACAAGCATCAGAATTCAATTGTTACCATTAATTTGAAGGTGAGAAGGTGATAACTGACCTACCGTCTGATAAGGAGAGTCACAACAGTTATTACATATGGCTTTTTTCTAATAATATTCACTTGGAAATACTGCTAGGTAAACAAAACCCTGTACATTATTTTGCTTGCTGGCTGCACAGTTTGACTTAGCATAAATACAGAAGAAAATGGATTATGATCTCCCACGAAGATCAGCAGATTACAAGTTGTTCCATGTCTGATTCTGAAAAAATACTATCAAAACTTCTAAGCATCTACCAACACGAAGAAACCAAGAATTTTCAGAACTCAGTATTTAAAGTGCACAGCAGGAAATACCTTCAACAACGTATGATAACAGCATATTTTATAAGACATCATCCTCAAAAGGATCAAAGACAAAAGAGCCCAAGAGATCATAAGGATACATGGTAAGCGCTCATAGGTACTACAGCTGTTCAGATAAAAACAATGTTGAACTTGGAAAAAACTCCGAAACTCGAGCCACCTAAATCCCTTGACAGGGAACAGGTAAATTGTGCAGGGAAAAAAAGTTGACATTTTTAAAGACTGGTATATATATACTAAAAAAAACCCCAACCTTAAGTGTGACTTAAAGACTGAAACCTACCTTGGATGTTTATCTTTAGTGCGTTACAATTATAATTAGTATCCTTATCTTTCTTGAAAGATATACAGAGTTTGCAAAAAAGCCTTTGTTAACAACATCCTTCTACTACTGCTTCTGTGTGGAGTAGGTCACTGGCTGCTAGGAGGGAAAGTGCCAATGTCCTCGCAAATTCTATTGCTTTCACAGATACAAAAATTCAATGAAAAAAATATAACCACAGCTATCTATAATGCCAACTCTATTTTATCGCTGATACTTACGTCATATTTTCCAAGATTTGGCTTCTGTTTTCCTGCTAAAATTTTCAAGGCGGTTGATTTTCCAATACCATTGGTTCCAACCAATCCCAGTACTTCACCTGGCCGAGGGATAGGCAACCTGTACACAACATCGATAACTCTGGATTACATTAATGCCAACAGACACCAACATGTCGTGGTAAACTAAATGTTACAACCCGCTTTCAGACTTTCTGATTATTTCATCCTACTTTGTTAACTTGTCAATATATCATAGAATCATAGAATGTTTTGGGTTAAAAAGGCCCCCTAGAGGTCATCTAGTCCAACCCCCATATAATTCAATATTCCTTAAAAATAGAAGATCATAAGAAAGATTTAAGAGCAGTCTGTTCTTTAAACAGGAGCTCTGTAAAATGAGCACTAAAATTTCATTACCATACTTTTTAATAAGAAAAAGGTAACATTCAAAAAGGAAGCTACTGAGGTAATAACTAAGAACGCCTTGATGTGCGCCATGTTTAGACTATCAAAAACTTGAAGTTTTTGTCTCTTTTACATTGATTTGAAAAATAAAATACCTGTGAAGTTTGAAGGCATTGGCACAATATCTATGCGTTGTTTCTTTCTCCAGGTTGCTAGGTAAGTTAACGATTGACAAGGCTCCAAAAGGACATTTCTGCAGTTGAAATAAATTTACAGATTACTAGTGCGCACAAACAATTTATTAACAAAATGCTATGTTCTGTACCGCACCCAGCTGCGCCCAGAATTTAAATATTTTTAAAAGAACTCTTACCAAATCACTTCACTTTCATTTACACAGTCAACTTTCCAAAGAAGTTCTATACCACATTTTTCAAATGAAATAGTTAGCAATTTAGACTGTCAGTCTACAATACAAGTAAGGCACACTGCATATATTCTCTAGCTCTTTTGTGAAAACATCTTTCTACTGCTAGGTGTCTATAGCCACAAAGAAAGTCAAACAAAACCAAAGCCACAAACAAAAAGTTAAACCCCATACCCTGCAACCCAGCCAGTTCAGTAAACTGACACAGTACTTCACTTTTTATAAACAATAACAAGTTACAGTATGCATTACTAAATATAAAAGCATAATAAGGAAATTTTATCACTTTAAATAAAGCAGCCTAAATTTACCTTGATGCAAATACCACAACCAATACAAAGTGTTTCTGAGATCCATGCTATCTTGCTCTGTGATGTAACTTCTATGCAAAGTTTTCCTGGTGAAAAAGAGTAAGATTAATTCAAGTTTCTGAGGAATCCGGATTCCTGCCAGTACTACAGAATTCCACAGAGGAACATGTAACCGATTAACGTTCACTAAAGCTTCAGGTTACCCAAAGACCTGGGAAGTGGCACTATTACTATGAGCTGTTCATCCTTTCAGTGATACTTCTAAAGGCTTTAGGAAATGAAGCACGAATGATAAAAAACTAGCAATTATAAAAAACTAGTTCCTGCTAGTAGGACATTATTTAGAACTTCTCCAATTGCTTAAATACTGTGATAAATTACATCTCTTACCCATTCGAACCACAGGACAACTCTTCTTGCATTCTTGACGGCATTTCTTTGGCTTACACTTGTCATGGTTGACAATGGCAATTCTTGTTAATTTGTCTGCCATAATGCACAATTTAGGGTTAAACACATACACCAATTATGAGGAGGAGTAGTGGGAGTCTTCCAGATCCTAAGGAAAAAAAAAAAAAAAAGAAAAAAAATCCAAAAGAGAACATAATTACTGGCAGCACAGAGAAGAACATACATATCTGAAGTTACTATTAGCAGAGTTCAGAGATGAAAAAACCAAAATGATTTTATTTTTTCCTCTTTTAAGAAAGATGGCAAACAGGGCAAAGACTGAAAACAAGTAGCAAGGGTACTGATGTGTAAATAACTGCACAAATCTTTAACATCAGCTTTCTATTCCGTTACTATTTCTCCACTGTAAAATAAAGCTGTGATTATATCTGAGAATGCATTTGCTTCCAAGAAAAGCATACCATAGTAAGAACAGAAGAATCTATACTGCTGCAAATTCCAGTTTCAGATGTTGCCTTGTGTAATGTAGCCTTGTCCATGCTATAGTGCCTGGTAAGATCAACCTGTGACTACAACTATTACTCTAACAATCTGATTATAATACTCATTTTATAAACTGTATGCCAATAGTCTATATTAAATTATTAAAATACTGTAAAATTTAAACCAGTTTTCAAAGTGAAAATTTGTAGTTGCATATAGAAAAGTAATCCAGGCAAAGTGAACAGACCTACATGATCAAGTTTGATTCCTGTATCTTGAGTTTCATTAGTATTTGAATAACTACACTTACATTCTCCATTTCCTCATATAGTATCAATGACTACAATACATTCCAATAACAACAAGCAAGATTCTTTATAAAATTATTTTTAGAAGAGAAAGGTCTTGGAGTACTAGATGATTAAATATTCCTGAAATCACAAATAAATGCACTGGAAGAAGTGAAATTACTACTTGTATTCCTCTGCATAACTGTCTCTTCTCTTGCTTACATATTTGTAATGCACGTTGACAAGCACTGCGTTGTACTGGGAATTTATGTCAACAGTTGTAGCAGAAGGGAGGGAAGGATAAAGAATTTTAAATTTAAGTCTTGACAGAAAAAAAGTGGAATGTATTTTAAAGTGCATTTATATTTCCTTTACCATAGTCACATACAGTATTGAGAATAACAATACTAATGACTTTATCTTCCCATGAGCAACACTCACCTAAGGATGACCCCCTCCACTCACTCCTGCTCCAGAACAACAAAGCCAACTGAATTACGAGGCTCTTGGAATATTACAAGATATTACAGATGACAAACAGATTTTTTTTTTGGGGGGGGTCTAAAGACAGACCATAATAAAGTACAAAGCATTTCCAGTTCAACACCACTAAATAAAGTGATGGCAGCCCTACACATGATGCCAGTTCAAACCCATTTCAATTCAATGCAACACATATCAGTAGCTCAAAGACAACTGGGAAGGAATCTTGAAATACTTCAGGGTTCCACAGAGTCTGCATGTGCACTTCCTTCCAAGAAAAGGATTCCAACATTCCTTATTAAAGAAAGTATTTTCTTTTGGATGTCCAGTTCATCTTGCTCCACCAAACTACAGTACCCTGCAGTGGCTTAGAGACTATTTACTACATACGACTGTTATATGAAGAAAGGTTGTGACTTTCAATCCCCTGAAAGAAGCAAGAATAAAACAGGTCCATGGCATATTTATCATGCTAAACTCCATCCTTTCCTAAACCCACCTATGAACATTAGTTGGAAGGAATCCTACCGATACTATTGTAATATGAAAGAAAGGAAGAGACTGACACCTAACAGGGAAAAAAGGTCAGAAATGAAAATGTTATTGTATCTTTAAATCCATTATAACATAGTTATGAATATTTTAAGTGGTTCCTTTTAAAAGTGGTATTCTTATTCCTCTTTTCAATTTCCAAAGTATTTTTAAATTAATGTCTAAAGATACACCTCATCAGATATAAATGGATGTAATTATTAGTCATGCTGCCAACCTTACTGTGGCAGTTTCTACTTTTAATATTTCAAAGATTTTTCTTTAATCTTTTAATATTTCCTAAGCCAAAATGTCCTAAAAACATAGTTGATGTTTTCAAATAAATGACTGAGTATTTTTTAAAAACTTAAAAACTGACTTTACAGTTCTGTATCGTCAGACCAGATTGACAAAGTAGGGCTGAACATTGCAATGTTCATGAAATAAAGTGAGAATTGCAAATCCATTAATAAATTTTTCTTACATAGAAAACAAGAAACTGAAAGCTTTATTCTCAAGAACTAGAAGGATGTCTGAGTCAGGGTAATCTTCTAGGAGACAGGTACTGGATTCTGTCAGTGCTTCAAATAAAGATATGTTCTTTGGGAATACATCCCAGTACTTTTCAGAGAAGTCCTGTAGTTTGCAGTGCACAGAGTGTTTGGGGGTGAATCACTCACTCTCTGGTTTCCCAAGGGAAATGCCTAATCTCGGTCAGCCCTTTCTCCACCACCACCTGTGTGGCTGAGTACCCTGGGCAGACTGACCACACTGTCTCTATCTGCCAGGCAGGGCTTTCCCTGCTGGTTACCTTAGCTCTAACTAGCCTGTAAATGTTCTATGGGTTACGAAAGCAAGCTCTAGAAGACAAGACTGCCGTACTGCAGGAGCTTGCCTCCCCTATCCAACCTCCCAAACCTCTGTTGGAGGTTACTGCCTGAGCAGTACAGATAGCAGACCAAACTCTCCCCTCAGCCATCCACCCTTCCAGTCTGGTGTTCGGCTTAAAGCACCAAAGCAGGAGAATGGGATGGGGGTGGCTCTAAAAGACCATGTCAAATATGGCTCAAAACAATTTGGTTTTACCACCTACCTCAGCGAGCTTTCCACCCAGTCTTGGTGGGATAATCAGTCTGAAGTTTACGCTGTAAGCTACCCATTGCCAAATCAGGTTGTTAAGTAATAAAACAATCGAAGATTTTTTTTTCCTTCTAACTTACTTATATTGGAAAATGCCCATCTGTGGGAACAATTTTGAAGGAGCCACCGAAGTAAGTACACCAAGCATTTATAAATTACTGGGTGGGGGGTAAAATAGAACTAATGAACCAGCACGGGGACATACACTCATGCCTCCCTGCTCCCATCTACATGATCAAAGTGTCAGTTTATCCAAAACTCTCCAGTGTCTCTTAAACCGTTTTCAGAAAAAAATATTTGTTACTTCTGTCACTTCTGCAATATTTCCAGGACTGTCCTGATGTCTGTGATTATAACCATTCAGAAGAGAAAATAGTAATTTCTACTCAGAAGTGACAGCTTAGAGCAAATTAAACACTGGTGTTCAAAACCAGACTGAACTCAAGTTACATATTTACATGCAGCTACTTTGGTGGCATTTAACTTAACATACCACATAGGATTGTCTGATTTCAAGGTGCAGACAGCAGAACTCTCAATACACTGAACACAGGTCAGAAACACATACAATATGCATACGCTACAATGCAGCATACCAGCAACTGTTAAGTACAGTCAGCAGTTTAAGGGCAGGAGAAACTGGTATTTGAAAGCATTTAAGTTCATATCTGTATTTCTCCTTTCCAAACCAAGAAGAAAAGAGAAAAAAACAAAGTGCGGAAAATATTAATTTGTTACTAACTACAAGAGTAAAGCATTATTTTGAATTAGGGAATTCTGATGGAGTGACAACAAAAAATCTTTCCAGAATGATGGACTGATGATATAGGTGATAGAATGAGAGAAGGAATAACAACTACCAGAAAAAAAAAATTCTAAACCCCTTGACAGTATCATTTATAGAAGCCAAAACCTGTCCATTAAGTCCAATTACAACACTTAATACAAACACTAAAACATGTCTAAAAATAAGACAAAATGCTTGTGATAACGTTTTGTAAGTCAGCGTTCTTAGGCTCCCTGACACAGCTGATGCTCTCTCTGACACACCAGATTAAAAAAAAAAAAGGACATAAGCAGACCTTGCTACCTGTCACAAAAGGCAACAGTAATGTATGTTCTGTAGAACAAATGTAATGTACTTGCATTGAGAATATTTACTTCTTTCACAGGCATTAGAGTTATATTAGAATTTACTAAGTCAAGTCAATCATGACCAAGAAGGATTTGTAACTGCATTGAATTATTCACATTTAAACAAAGAAACATTAAAAAAGTAAATGAAGACTGAAACATAACTAGAGACAAATCAATTAAATGATGCAAAGGCAAGATCCGTGTTCAGAATTGAGCCGTGCTTTAGTTACTCTGCAGAAAAAGAGCTAACATTTTATTAAATTGCATTGCATCAGACTTCAAAGATAAATGCTGAAGAAAGAAGTGAGGATGAGCAGCATTTGCACTTTCCTCTGAAAATAATTAACCTCAAGAATTATCTCTCAATCCATTGCTAATGGGCTACATACAGTCACTCCCTAACACAAACAAGAAAGTTAAGAACTGGAATAGCCAGAAAAAAGAAAATTTAAATGAAAGGCAAAGGACAGATTTTCAAACTGCATTTCTAAGTGTCTGAGAAGAAATAATAGTAAATGCTGTAAGATCAAAATCAATCTACTGAGGGTTAAGAACTGGTTGATGCTTCAGGTTTTGACATTTGTTTTAGAAACTGAGACAATGTATAAGAAGAAGTTTAAACAAGCCTCAAATCTCCCTACTGTATTTAACTCATTATATTACTCATAAGGCACAACATGAATATGAAAATAAATACAATGTTAACATGAAAAGCATATGGTCACCTATACTGACGCAGCATAATGAGTGGGTGTGTTTAGCTGGCGCTGAACAGTATTAATTATCACTCAATCTTCAATATTTCATTGAATTAACATGAAGTGAAATGCAGGAGAATAAACCCATAAAGCGGCAACCTACCACATAAAAATTACAGAAGTATTTCACGACCACTTCTTTATGACGAGAGTTTAGGAAACCCTAGCAGAGAAACCTGAAGTTAGAGCTTGAAAACTGTCACAGAAACTTGCAGGTGAAAGAACTGCGTGCATTCCAGCGAGGAGAAACTGCCGCGGTCCTAGAGAAAAACTGTCACAGAAACTTGCAGGTGAAAGAACTGCGTGCATTCCAGCGAGGAGAAACTGCCGCGGTCCTAGAGAAGAGCCCTCTTTCGCTTTTTTCACATGCCTTGTGAAAACCCAGCCTTACCCTGTTACCTTCAAACCTGCAAGAAGCCTCGGCCTCCTCACCACACAAGCACACACAGGGATATTAACTCTCCCCAGAATAAG